CTTTGCTGACCACTCTCACTCCCAAGTCCGTCTTGTCAGAGATGCACTAACACGTCTCTTGTGTGTTCCTACCTATTGATTATCAGATGCGTCCAAAACAACATTTATGTGGGGTCCAGGAATATATAATTCAAAGGACTATGGGTCACCCCCATTGATGTTTTGGCTCCACTTAGGATAAGAGCTAAAGTCATTCTCAAGTCAGTGGTTTTAATGGCAGAGTAGTTGGTGAAGCCTTTTTAAGCGAGTCTCTCCCCATACTTTATAAGGGCCGCAGTGGGAGAATTAGAGCCATTTTCCTGCCTGATCCCTTCTGAGTTTTCAGAGAGCAAACGGAAACTGAGAAGGTCCTTGGGGGAAGGGGAATTAGTCATTCTGGCTTTTTCTCTCAAGTATCTATTTGTTTTAAAGTTCCTTTATCTCACCTTTCATAACAGCCATACCTAAGTGGATTACCACGAAGTAAACCACTCAAGTCCCCTTCCAATCAAATTGCTAGCCAAGCCATAATATATGTTTTTTTTAAAAAAGTAGTTAAACACCTGGTGTAAATAGGGTCAGCATAAGACAATATAGTGACATAAGAAAAGATTACTCGTTTTGCTGGATTAGTCCAAGGCCTTTTCAGTTCAGAATTTTGTATTTCTCCAGGGTGGGGTGAGGTGAGGAAAGACAGCATATGTGTTTAGGGGATCCCACAGAGTACAGATCTGCTCCCCATTCAGTAGCTCTAGAACTACCTTCTGTTAACGAGCCTCCTGATTGAAATATTTAGGATTCCTACAGAGTACAGATCTGCTCCCCATTCAGAAGCTCTGTTAACCAGCCTCCTGATTGAAATATTTAGGATTCCACCCTTGTGATAATATACACCACCAGTTTTTTTTTGCTTTCATTCCTTCAGTGAAATCACTACAATTTCTTCTTCTTCTTCTTCTTCTTCTTCTTCTTCTTCTTCTTCTTCTTCTTCTTCTTCTTCTTCTTCTTCTTCTTCTTCTTCTTCTTCAGTACATTATCCAGAATCACAAAGCCACCACGGACCACAAGCCCCAGTGTCTTCCAGTCAGTTTCCTCTTCCTTACTGAATTTTGCAGCAGTCACCAGTTAGGAAAAGCTGTTTTACAACTACATTATCCAGAATCACAAAGCCACCATGGACCACAAGCCCCAGTGTCTTCCAGTCAGGATCACCAATTGCTTTGCTGGCTAGGGTGTGTGGGTCTGGGAGTTATAAACCATGGTAGCTGAAGGATTCTGGACATGATGATTCACCCAAGTAACCTTTTCCAAGCTCCAATTTAAAAAAAAAATGGTTAAAGCTTATGTGGACTCACATACTCCTTTTCAAGTAAAAAAACCTGCCTTAAAGCTGGTTGTATACCAATTTGCCTCCTGATTTTAAATTTTGAAGGGAAGACACTCTGCATCTGCACATGAATACCCTTTCATTCATAGGTATGGCTACCAACTTTTTCACAAGGCTTCTCAGCCTTTACGAGTTTCATGATCTGCAGATCCGAGACGTGAAGTGTTCTCATCATCATTGTGCCTGCATGGTAGGAATAGCTTCACCAGTTAAATTACTGCCTATCTAGCTGGCCCGATCAAACATGATGGAAAAAGTTAACCTTTGGTAGAAATTGTTGCCTAGATATTAAACATCCAAACAAGCTGGGTTTTTATCAAGTCTCATGGATGAATGGATGAATTAACCAAGTACAAATAAACAAGCCGTGCAGAAGAATTACTGTCATGCAAGAGGGTCCAGCTGTGCATGTTTACTCATAAGGAAATCCCACTTGAGCAAAATAGGACTTACTCCCAAATAAATGTCCTTCAAAGATAGCAAGCCATGGATACATTTTCAAACCTCTCAGTCCTTTTATCTGGATACATGTATGGATGTTGTTAATATGGGATTATGGGAGTCTTGCTTAAAACAGTTGTGTCTTAACTCAATTTGGTACCGAATCTCCTGCAGGAAAAGTTGTGGGTGGAGGCGATAAAGGCACTTAAGCTTTAGGTTGTGACAGCAGTCATAAACACATTGCCAGAATGAGGCAACACACAAAAGCCGTTTTAGGTAATAACAGTAAACAGAAGTTGCCAGATGACCAGAGAAGTCTTTTCTGGCCTGCACTCTTATTCCTTTTCAGTGTTGCCTTGATAATACAGGGATTCAGAAGGCAAAGCTTTTCCCAGCATAGAGATCAGTGTTTGCCTTGAGATAGTTGCCAGCTTTTTGCTGCTGTTTGAAGCATAATGGGATGGACTGGTTTGGGAAAAAATAAATTGGCCGCCCTCAACAATTTTGGTAGTATCAGCTCTGGCAAAAATACAAGGAAAGACCTGTGGTTTTACATCTTCGCACCTAACAAATTCATCTGTTTAACTGCACCCATGATGAGGTGATCCGTTTCAGTTCTATAGGCAGGTTGAGAATGAGAGAAAACGAAAATGAACCCAACCTTCTTTGAAATCCAGACTGATTCCCCAGCTCCTGGGAAGGGGAAAATATGCAGTTCGCTCTCTAAGACAACACAGGATGGCTTTTCCATGAAAACACCTTGACTCACCCCCTCCTTTACCCCTCCCTCCTGGAACAGCATCACTATTTCCGAATACCGACGGCTTCTTTTTTCCTTACCTCACGGCAAAGGCGCCGGGATGACTCTGTCGCGGGGCAGGAATTCCCTAACCCAACCAACCCCTCCTTCCCCATTCTGACTGCCAACCAGCCATATATGCTCAGAACTCCTGCCAGATGCCTCTGAGGGGCACCTGGGGGCCATTCCTTCTTCCCCTCAAATCTCTTTCTACAACCAAGCAAATACAGAGCATTTTCTCTCACACACACATAGACATGCACACACAATTTATGCTCTTGAAAGGTACAGGACAGTTCCCCAGCACCACCCAAATGCCCTCCATGCAGACATAAAACCCAATATTGGCCTATATTTGATTTTTAAAATTTTTGCTTTCTGTACACGCTCTGAAAACACAGACAAATGTCTCAAGAGGAGGGTTCTGAAGGAGGTTCAGTTCTACCAAGAAACAGGCTATGATAGCCTGTCTACTGCAGAAAATTCTTGGGCTGCTGTTAAAACAGCAGCCAATTCTTCTCATTTTTGTATTATTTTGTGTGTGCAATGTATGTGTGGGCCAGAAAATGCCCTGGGCCTGCACGCTGTTTAGATGTTCTGTCTTAATATTTCTGCTCAGAAAAGCTTTTATGGTACATAAAAAACTGCCTTATACTGGACAAAAACATTGGTCCATCGATTCCAGTATTGTAAACGCTAACCTAACCCTATTTGGAGATTGCTGGTACAAACTGGTGATCACCCTTCCAAGTACTAGCCGGGCTTAAACCTGCTTAGCTTCTGAAATCAGGTGAGAGCACTGTGTTCAGGACAAAATAAGGTGGTCTGTGGCACTTGTTTTAAAGCCCAGGGGCTGAATTTTCATCAGTGCCCCTGGCATTCAGCCAGACGTGATCTTCTGGCCTCAGTGACCCCTGCCTATAAAATGGAACTAACCGTGTGCTGAAACATCGCAGTGTTTGCTCTGAAATGTAACTCATCGTAGAACCAAGAGCAGAAAGACATTTGAACCAAGAACTTCCCGCGTGCTTAGCCATAGGAGTCATTAGACCACCCAAAGCCCAAGAAACAAAGCACTTAGAACTTAAAACACACATGGAGAGAGCAAGAAAATATTATTGAAGTATTAAGCAGTTCACATTTCTCAAAGCCTGCTCTCTTTCACCCTATGAAGGGGGAAAAAAGGGAAGCCTTTTGAAGAAGGAGTGGGTGGTGGGACTGCTGAAGAAAGAATGCAAAGGAAATTACATTTTTTTTTTATCCCACGGCCAATAATTCTGTCCATCCAGGATTCTTTTCCATGAAGGAAATGTCAGAGGAAAAGGGACACGAGGCAGAGGCTGGAGAACCAGCTGCTCGGGACAAATGCTTGATAGGATGAGACTTTCCCCCACAGCTTCATGGGGTAAAAGTGTCATAAGATGGAAAGCAAAGAGGAGAGGTGTAATCAGTCCAAGCAGCTCCTCTCCCTTGATCTTAGGAATCTTACTTTTGGAGACCACAGATTCCATAATCCCTTAGCCAGCTATGAATGGTCAGTGTAGGTAGTCACTGTGCATTACCCAGAGATACGTGCCATCCGTCTGGAAAATGAAGCCTGTTTCTACCTTCCTGTAGCTAAACAGACAGCCCAAAAAACGCTAAATGCAAGATATGTAGGTGAGGAAAATCCTGTGTGATGGGAAACAAATGTTTTAGCTTTTCATCGAAAGCGCCTATTTAAAAATATATATATTAAATTAATCATCCAGATTAACTCTTGGCAAAAAGAGAGATCAATACTTCCAAGCTTAATCTTGGTCAACTTCCACCTACGAGTGCCCATGAGAATTCCCATTTGTGGTTCCCAGGGTTTTCTAGGTATAAAACACTCAGATGTGGTTTACCAATCTTTCCTGCCGGTCCTTCTAGGATTGTGCAGCTTGTTCAAAGCCATGTAGTTAGCTAGGTGTGTAATTCCATGAGCCACCTTTACTCCGGGAGATCTCAGGTGGCCCCTTTCCTGGGGGACAGAGTGGGCATTTGAACTCACAGCCCTTTTCCACAGCCAGGCACTCCAGCCTGCTTCGCTATACTACCTTTTCTACCCCTTAGCCTCATTCACTAAGCTTGCTGAATGCTGCAGAGTAGAATAGCAGGATCCTTAGGCAACGGAAGGTACTAGATCGCCAGCAGGGACGCTCTTTCAAAATTAAACAAATGGGAAAACTTCTGCATGAACAGAAATAGTGACGCAAAATCCAATACATCAGGAAGAAAACCAGTTCCTCGATTTTTCCCTGGTAGATTAGTTCCTGCTTCTAAGGAAATCCACCTTGCTCTCCACCCCACCACAGCAAAACTTGGCAAACTGGATTCATAGCTTCTAACTGGGATTTTTCTCTTTCTCTGCAGGCAGTTTGTGTCAAATCTTAGTGATGCTGCTAAGTTTGTGTGAGGGGCTCTGGGCTGCCCCTGGCCCCCGACCGAGGCCAGACACCCGATCTGAATTCGATTCAGTTGTCAACCTGGCAAGAAACCTGCTGAGTGACACCAAGAACCTCTTACACCACTTTGTAAGTTCAACAGCCTGTTTGGTAGGGATGTAGGGCGATTGTTGTATAATAAGTGTGAATCTTGGTCTGTTCAGTCCAGTGCCAGCCATCTCTATCACTCTATCAGGGGTCCTTTATATGTGCAAGACTATAACCCCCATCTTCCCCAGCCAGTGGTCCTCTGACTGGCATCTGTTCTTTGGAGGTCTGCTGTCCAGTTTCCAGTTAACTGGTAGCAGTGGGGATCGAACCCAGCCCCTTCTTTATACTAAGGATGTGCCTATCTCCTGAGCCGCAAGAGTTTGGGGCAGCTGGCAATCAATGAAGGCCACCTCTGGAAACCGGCCGCACCTGGAGTACTGTATACATTTCTGGTTGCTACACCTCAAAAAAAGACATAGTGGAAATAGAAAAGGTGCAGAAGAGAATAACTAAAATGATGACTGGGCTGGGGCACCTCCCTTATGAGGAAAGGCTACAGCATTTGGGGCTCCTTAGTCTAGAGAAAAGGCACCTGAGAGGGGACATGATTGAGATGTATAAAATTATGCAGGAGATGGATAAAGTGGATAGAGGAAAGCTCTCTGCCCTCTCATGCAATACTAGAACCAGGATTATAATCTCCAGGATGAAAAAGAAGGTTCTTCGAAATGCCAGATGCAGGGAAGGGAGATCAGAAGAACAGGTATCTAGTTGTCTCATGTGCTTTCAGAGGCATCTGGTGGGGCCATTGTGAGATACAGAAAACTGGACTAGATGGGCCCTTGGCCTGATCCAGCAGGGCTGTTCTTATGTTCTGATTTTGTTTCCTGGCCCAAACAACAGATGTGCTGTAAAGGTGTCCAAGGATTTGTTCTGCCTCGGGAATTCTGGGAGTTGTAGTCGAAAATCACACTTCTAATGTGTTTAAAGGTCTTTAGGAAATGGCTCAAATTGACCTTCTAATGTGTTTGAAAGGTCTTTAGGAAATGGCTCAAATTGACGATATTTGCACAGGGCAGGGGCAACGTTTAAAACCTCCGCATATCGGTTACCATTATGACTGTGATTTTTTTCAAAAGAACTAAATAGTTAAATTTTAACTACTGAAAAAAGTAGTGGCACAAGGAAATACTTGAATCATATGATTTTCCCCAGCCACTGTTTATAAAAGTATAAGAGTACATCCAGCAAGTATAACAGTAATTAAAAAGTTACAGCTGCACTGCAAAAAGAATGAAATTATATTTTTTAAAGTTACAAATATGGTATATCTTAGTTATACTGTACATACTGGGAAAATGAATTAATCACAAGTCACTTGTTATTTGTAATAAATTATTTCTGGTGTTTTGGATTTGCAGCCTCCTTCCTTAAAAAACTATTCATTGAAATAATGTATAAATTCACCTTTGAAAGAGGTGTTTAAAATGGGGGGAGGAAAAAACACCACTATTAAAAAGAAATAAGATATTTCATCTCATTCATCACTCTGGTTAGTTATGCTGGTTGGTGTAACTCTGTCAGTGTAAATGCCAGCAGTACCTGACGGCAAATGGTTACTTTTAAGGTGACTTCTAAATTGTGGTAATTTGCCACTAAAATGTTTATCAGAGGAGTTACACTAAGGTAGAGTGATGGACTCAGGAGGCTAGGTTTGAATCCCTATTCATCCATGAAAATTCACTGGGGGTTTGGAACTGGTAAAACCACTCCTTAAAGATTTCACTAACCTTGAAAACTTGATGATGCAGAAAAGCAACAATAACATGGGCTTAAATGCTTAACAGGATTCTGGCCATCATTTAAAGAGGGGCCGGTCTAATTTTTTTCTGGCTTCCACTTACTATTTATTGTCTGAAGTTGTTGATCAGTGGTGGGACGCTGTTGCTGCCATCATGAGCCCATTGTCTCCCTTTTCCTACACAGAAAAACCGCTACCCAGCAGAAGGCGAACACAAGTTGGAAACTCTGCCGGTTTTGTCCATGAATGCTGTGGAACTCACAAATATCCAGGTAAAAGGACCTTCCTTGCCTTCGCTACTGCCCTCTGGAGAGTCTCTTTGGCATGACAGCTTCTTACCACAAGTCAAATCTGTGATATGATCTGTTTAATTGCATAATATTGATTTTATTTAAATGGCATTTGAATGTTAGTGTTATGTTGTTTACCTGTACCTTTTGGCAGGAGAGAATCTTGACTTGAAACCCTGTGAGATTTTCTGCCACTGAGCCAGACGGACAAATGGTCTGAACCAGTAAACAGCAACTTCCAACATTCCTATAAACAGAAATCTTTAGGAACGTGCAAAGCAAGCAGCCACTGTGTCCTCCTTTTCCCACCTCCATTCTGATCCATCATCCTTCTCTCTCATCCCCCTCTCCGCTTCAGGTTTCAGGAGGTCTGGCCCGCCTCAGCTCAGATTTGCAATGCTACCACCGCCATTTTGAATGGCTGCGGAAAGCAGCGTCGCTGTTGCGTCCCATGGAACATGACATCAGCACCGTGCACAACCGACTCGAACGCCTTCTCAAACGACTGGAGCACCTGGTAGGGCTTGGGGAGAAGGGGAGGGTGCAGGACCCATAGGGCTGGATGAGTTGACCTAGACAAGCTGTTCTCCAGTTCTGTGATTCTGGCCAGGCTGCCTTGGGAGTTGTGGTCTGAAAAGTTATCTTTCCCAAGTTGTGGAGAACTCTTCGAGAGTTGCACCACTGCTGGATGCTTGGCTCCCATTACGGTTGTTGCCCTAACTTTGGACGATCTGGTTCTGAGACGACAAGACACTGCAGGGGTGGGGGCCGGAATCCCTTCTTCCCACTACGACAGGAAGGAAAGGAAACCACCACAACTTTGGCAGAAGAGATGGTGCTGGCAGCTCTCAGCTCTCAGGGTTTGGCGGGTGCCACAAAACAAGGGTGAGGGGACCACATGTAGTCAACTTGCGTTTTAGGATATACAACTCAATGATGTCCTTTTCTCCTCAGATGACACGGCTCAACCTCTCAAAGACCAACGACCCTTTGCCAACCCTCCCGTCCCATGGCACTCACTGGTCTGTGGTTCAAGCAGGACATGCCATCATCCACTCCTTTCACCTTTACCTAGACTGGGCAGCCCGTGTGCTGGTTTTGATCCGGAACAAGCTGTGAACGGCAGGAAAATCGAACCGCTGCGGATGTTTCGGAAAGCCTCCCTATGGACTTGGACCTCTTGGATGCTGCTTCAGCAATACTCGCGGAGGAGGTGGCAAGGAAACCTATGAGACGGGACACCACTGGATTCCTCCTCTAGGGGGTGCTGCTGGGTGGGAGGGGCTAAAATGTTTGGCCTACTCACAGCCTGCTTACACTGGGGGGACATTGTGGAATGAGAAGCAACTTCTTTTACTCCTGGAACAACCACCCTCTCATCTCCTCATTACGGGGTTGGGAGACATAGTTCAGGAAAAAGTATCTCTCTATTTTCCAGGGACGTCTTTAGCCCTCACCCACTCTCCTTTAATGAAACATTATCATACAGAAGACACTGACCGATTTATGTCAGTATACGAGAATCTCTGATTGGTGTGGGACATGATTGATTACTGAAGTGTATAGACTGGTAGCAGGAGAAACCTCCCCCCCCCTCCAAATCTTGTTGGCCATTTACTGATCATACCATGCAATATGTGTATTCTAGGGTGATCGTCCAGTTTGAAGAAGGACAGCTATGATGACCAAGTGATTTAGGCAATATCCCCAGTTAGTTGAAAGTGTGTTCGGAAAGGGGTCCCATAATCTCCCAGCAGACCCAGGAATTCTGAAAAGAGGAAAGGATTCCTTGATGATAGGAGTGTTCAGAGCTTTCAGGATTGGCTACTCCTACTAAACTCTCAGTCATAATAGCCCCAGCCTGTTTCTCTCCCAACCATCTGCATGAAAAAAATTATTTATTTGTTATTTTATTTAAAATATTTTTACCCTGCCTTCTTAAAAAGGAACCAAGATGGCTTTCATCAGTAAAAAAACAATATTTAAAAGCTGAAAACAGTACATATAGAAATACAGGTATGAAAAAAGAATCAAGTACCACATTTAAATGGTAAACAAAATCAACCCAAAACACATTTGAAGCAACAAAGTACAATAGGTCATTAAAAATCCTTTCAGACAACCAGTTGCTAAGGGAAAGCTGGCCTGAAGGGAAAGGTTTTTGCCTGCCTGTGGAAGGAGATGGGGTCAACCAACCTGGTCTCCAGTGGGAGGGAGTTCCAGAGTCTGGGAGCAGCAGCCAAGAAGGTCCTCTCCCGTGTCCCTACCAAATACACCTGCGAAGGCTTCCCCTGATAATCTTAACATCCAGACAGGCTCATAAAGGGAGACACGGTCCTTGAGATAGCTTGGACCCAAGCAGTTTAGGGCTTTATAGGTTAAAACCAGCACTTTGAATTGTGCCTGAAAAGAGATGGGCAGCCAGTGGAGCTGCTGTAACAGGGTGGGTTATTCACTGGTTCGTAACCTTGGGTTACTCAGGAGTTTTGGACTGCAACTCCCAGAAGCCTTCACCACCAACTGTGCTGACTGGGGTTTCTGGGAGTTGCAGTTCAAAAGCATCTGAGTAACAAAGGTTAAGAACCACTGGGTTATATGATCCCTGTCAGCAGCCCCAGTTAACAACGTGGCTGCAGCATTTTGGACCCACTGACGTTTCCGAGCGTTTTTCCAAAGGCAGCCCCATGTAGAGCACATTACAGTAATCCAGCTGGGATATAACTTTTGTTACCGTGGTCAGGTCAGACCATTCCAAGAACAGCCACAAGCCAGTGAAGATTTGATGCTAAATTGGAGCTTTTTCATCAATTTAAAAGATGCCCCTCCTTTAAAAAATGTTTATTTATACATATATAACACATGGAGACAGGGGGTGGCAGACTTGTCTTTGGACATATCCTTGCTCATACAGGAGGGAATCACCTTTTCTAAGACCGTGCCTTAGAAGTATCTAATATGAGACATCTGAAACCACTTCACCCAGCCTGGCATCCTCCAGAAGTGGTTGGACTACAGTGTCAACAATCCCCTAGCTAGTTAGCTAGCTGTCTGGGGATTGTTTGCTGTAGTCTGCCCTACATGGAGGGCACCAAGCTGGACGGGAGTGGTCCAAAAACAAATTATGCCTTTTTGTAATCAATTGCATTCTTTACATACACACTTGTGCAAGATTAATTAGCCTGCATAAATAATCAGAGAAGTTTTAAAATATTTAAGGTAACATTCAGGACAAGAATTAGGGGGCCTTTTTTTTAAAGCAAGTTCGAAAATCAAATTTAGCCACAGAGTCTTTTGTCTTTTGTGTTAATGGTTTGCAAAAGCACACACCCTCAGTCAACACATGTTCGCAGGTACACTTTTCTAGATTTTTTAGAAATCTAACTGGAAAGTTAGAAAGTTGGGACTTCAGAATAATCATCTTGATTTCCCAACTGGATTATTTCCAGATGCGAGCAGCAAAAGGCGGGGGAGGGGGGGGAATCTGCTTTCCTTTACCAGCAGTGCCCCCTAGTGGATCATCTTTGTTTTGTAAGACTGGTGGACAGGAAATTGTAAATAAAACCCTGGGATACAAAAATGGACCAACTAATTTTATTTCAAGCCAGTTTAAAAAGAGTTATGGAAGAAGAAAAATTAGCCCATAAGGCTAGATTATGCATTCCACAGTGCCAAATTCTGGACAAAGCCTTCATGTAGTTCAATTGTTGCATGATCAGTATCAGTGTATGATTGAGGGGAATTTTTTTTCCACATTAGTTTGCCTCATAACTCTATACTGCATACCTTTTAAATGCAGGACTAGGTCCTAAAGGCCCTCCAGATGTTAGTATATTCCAACTCCCCTCAGCCTCAGCCATCCTGACCAATTGTTGGGGATGATGGGAATTCTAGTCCACCCTCAGCTGTTAAACTACAGGCTTCCCACCTCTGTTTGAAGGGCTGTAGTTAAGACCGGTCCACAACCATTTCAAATATTTATCATGAACTTTTCTTCTTCTTGAGTATTTATAAAGCCGTTAGGTTTCTTTCTTGTAACTTATTATTTTTATTTATCTGTTCAAAGTCTGGGTTGTTTTATCAGTTGTTCTTATTGTCCTTGTGGTTATTATTATTATCATTATTATTTTTATTATTAATAATAATGTTATTTTATTTTGGACGTCTTCCATATATTTATTGACCAGCTTCTCTTCTTTTCCCTATCTCTTCCTTTTTTTTGTATTTTTTTTAAAATTTGGGCACTTAAATTTGAAATAAAAAGTTAAAAGGATTCAGATGAAAGAGCTGTGTTTTTCATTCCGAAGAGAATCATAATTTTCTATTATTCAAAACAGCAAATACTGTAGTCTTCAATTAAATGGCCAGCCTGATCCATTATTAAAGTGTTGGCGGGGGGGTGGGGATATCTTAGGCAGCTCCCTTGCATGTCATAACTTCGTCAAGCCAAGCCCAATCTTTTCTGAAAGCTGATGGAGGCTGATAGCTGTCTTTATCAAATTTACCACTAATGGGATTGCTTCCTCCATGCTATGACTGAGAGGATTCCTCTCAGGATGGCCACTGATACGTTAGCAAAAAGGCTAACCAAAAGGGATGACAAAAGAGAACATTAAGAGTGCAATCTGACCGTGAAAATGGCGTGTGTTCAAACACATTGGAAAGGATCGCTTTGCAAGGAGTGATCTCCCTTAAAACAACACTTCCGTCCATGGCGTAATCACTTCAACCCAGCCCCCCCCCCAAAAAAGTAGTAGCCCTATTGTTGGGCCACAAAAATCCAGCTTGGGCATGTACCAGGGCCAGCTAGTTTGTCAACTCTTGGATATTGTGTGATTGTCAGGAAATAGCTCACACCGGATCACGCCAGAAGTGATCGGAAATGGAAGCTATCTTCTTCTCTGATCACACCCTGATTTGCACAAAATGGCATGTACTAATTTATACGTTTACATGCAAAATTACATGCACGTTTTTGTGATTTAAATAGAACTATAATGCATCTTACTTGATGGAGGGAGACAAGTGAACTATGTGACTGCTGGATTTGCCCTCCAGATACTCGCTTTGAATGGGCAACTTCAAAGCCCCTGACCCCCAACCCCCCTCCTCGTGATCTCTTTATCTTTTAAATACTGTATTAGGCAGGACTCCAAATAGAAGATACCTTCCAAATGAAGGCAAGTGGTAGCTTTTGAAGTGAAAGTCTGTCCTCCCTAAAAAAAAGGACCCAAAGAGTCACCCTAATGCTTTTCAGATCCAGATAGAAGGGACAATTTCACTATCCTATTTAGAGAACCTATACCTCTTAGGATCTGACCTACTATAAACTTTAAGAAACAGAGAAATTTTCAAGGCCTGTAAGTGGCCTTGGCTGATGTGTTTCATGTAGTGTTAAAAACACTTGTTATTGTTCTTATGTGGCATCTGATTAACAGGTGGCCCGAATAGAGTTTTCAAAGTGTGTGGACTATTTAAGGAGGCCACCATTCAATGGGTTTCTATGAAGCTGGCACTGGACTTAGACTTTGCACCTTCTTCAGGGCAGGTACACACGTTTGCAGGAAGCCATGATGGCTTGGAAATCCTGGGAATTGTAGTCCAAAACAGTTAACTTCCCAAGCCCTGGGTCTTTTATTGAGCTCTGACTACTGTGGGATACTAGATCGCTTCTCCTGTCCTGCTACAAAACAACCAGATCTTAATGCATCCTGCACTGGGTTCTGATGTCAGTTATGGCATGTATGAGCCCGCTCACACTGAGCATTTGTTCAACTTTCCTTGCACCCATGATACTGGTGCTGCATCCTGGTGTCCACACGACGCTGGGCTGAAACTGGTATCAAGAGAGTAAATGTGGGACAACAACAACAACTTGCTTTCCAGTTTGTATTTTCAAAAACACTACTGGCTGGTAGGGTCTACTACTAATTTCCTTCAGTGCAGGATCACTTCATGCGGACCTTAGTACTGCACTGTCCTAGGGGCTCTGTGGATGGGTGTCATTTGATGATGTTTCCTTCTGGGCAGTGTTCTCCTGCTTAATCACCACCCCTCTGGGTAAAACGAGGGGAAAAGGGAGAGTGTGGAATAGATCAAGATAACAGAAGAGAAAGACAAAGGGAGAACACAGTTTGTGCTGGAAGTGAGACCTCAGGCTGTAATACTGGGCAGACAGTATTGGAACGATCCAGTGGATCTCAATATGTGTAGCAAAAAATAGGCTCACTATGGGTTGACACAAATACCACCATGGTCCTCTATTCAAATCTTCAAGAAAAAAAATTCCAGAGTGACCCAGAGCAACCCCAGCATAACTGGGACACATGATTATGTGGACAAGACCCAAATTAGCAATCTGCCGCCATCACTGGGGTAACGCATGTATTGCACATAGAAGGTGCTGGGTTCAATCCCCAGCATCTCTAGGAAGAAAACCCAGTCAAAGTTTTGATGGACCAAAGACTGTGGCATAAGGCAGCTTCTTATGCTTCTGTGTTATGGTGTTTATATAATCTCAGTCCTCTGATTTGCCTTTCTCTCTATTGGGCCTGGAAATCATAATAACTGATTCTGTCTGCCTGTTCGGTCTCCTCTTTTTCTCCTTTTGAAATGAAGCAGATTGACATTAATTAATTCTTTGATTCCTTTAATCAACCAGTAATTAACAACTCTTGATCTTCTTTCCCACAGATGGGGGAGGGGGAATTACACAAAATAAAGCGGATGAGCTAAAAGAAGACAGCCGTGAATATTTGTGAGGTGCTGTGTTGGCTGGATGTTAGCATATGAGGGCTTGTGTAAAGAGAAAAGCCCAGACACATAAGGGGGGGGTGAAACGTGCAGGCTTCAGTATCTGGTTGAAACAGACAATTTTATAATTGCAAGGGAAAATCAGAGCTACATTTCCTACCAGGCTACTTAAGGATTCATGTATTTTATACACCACATATGTAAAACTACTAAGCCCTTGCTCACTCACAATCTCAGTCACAAAATGAGCGAAGGAGAGGGAATATAAATTTGTGTTAGTGTAGTTTCACAACAGAAGGAAATCTGGGTTTTGGTATACTCCAAGATGTCCTGATTTCTAGAAAAGGTCCAAAAAGAGACGATGTCAATTATTCTTTCTCAAAAGTCCTCACTGCTGTGGCAAGAACAAGCCAAGATATGTATGCAACAGGAGGGAGGGGTGAAGATGTAGAGATGTGAGCAAATTGAACCAGACCCTCTTTTTCTCTGGGGAAGAGAAGAGTGAGATCTATTGTGGCAGGGAGACAATTCTCCTTCACACATTTGAAAAACCCATAAATGGCTGGGGGCAGATCAGTTGTGGCAGCTAGGATGATAGCTAGGTTTATGAGAGATCGTCTGCATTTTCTACGTAGTTATCTTATCTGCAGACCAGTCCTTCTCTGCAGAATTACTGCACAGGAGAAATAAGTCCTGATGAGTTTGGTAGCACTTATATACTCCATAGTCAATGCATGCAGGATTATGGTTTCACGTAAATGGATATTCACAGCCCTTATGTATGAGCTGTTGTTGAACAAGGGTTTTGCTCCAATGGGTTAAGCAGACTAAGAAGGAGGCCTGTTGGTATCACCAACATAAGCATCTACTGTGACATCAAAGGTTTGTCACGTTGGCTTTTTCCAATTGCTCAGAAATCTACTGGCTGTTGTCTTTGATAAAGGCAGCAGACAAACTGAAGAATCAAAGGATGCACAAGAGAATGAAACCAAGATGTCCTGCCACTTCCAAGAGGCACCTGCAGTGCCCAACCTGAGCAATGATCCCCTGCCATCCTGTGCTGCTAAATAGGAATTTAAAATGTACATATAAGGTCTCCCCAGGAGTAGCCCCACTTATCCTAAAAAAAATTTTTTTTTCAGTAGTGGCTATATCGTAAACTGTCTTGTCTAATGACTTTCTCTCTCGCTGTTTGTCTCTTACAATTTTCTTAAATATATATTTATATATATAGAGAGAGAGAGAGAGAAACAGCATTACGGGAGAGGCTGCAGCGTAGGAACAGCCTCAGGCGTTTGGCTGTCCGAAGTGGGAAAAAGCATTATACAGCTTCTATTCATTTCAGTATGACTAATCCAAGCACAGTTTGATAGCAGAATATGTTTTAGGTGTCAGATTTATCCATGTTCTACTTTGCCCCAATTAAAAACAAAATCCACTCAGAATAGCCACCTTAGGGTGTGGTTAATGAGCAATAAGAACTGGTTTTGAATGGGGCTTTGCATATTTAAAATCGATCCTGACTACATGATGCATGTCGGAACCCACTCTTTTTTGCCCGAATGCGAGGTTTTTTGGAAGAACTTTATAATAGGGCTTGCCCTGCTGGGTTATACTCTATCTATCTATTACTGGTACATTCCCCCCAAATTTCTGCCCCTGGGTAACTGGCTTTGTTTGCGTGACTGAGGTGTCCTTGATTCACAGCCTGCCTGCCTCTCCACCTACTTCCCTTCCCCCCCCCCATTTTAGACCACCCAGTAACTAGAGGTCTTTGGGGAGTGTGAGCAATGAAACACTATTAAGGGGGAAAAATGAGGAATGACAGCAAGTAACAAAATACAAAGCCAGCAGTAAACAGTGAAAATATTGCCCCATGCCAAACCTCACTTCAAATTAGAAGCATGCCAGCATCTACAAGCACTTTTTAAATCATTCTTAAATTACCCGGGAGAATAACAAGATCTTCATCTGTTGCTGAAAATACTGTATTCTGGCACCTGGTGAGCCTCTCTGGGGAGGGTATTCCATAAAAAGGATGCAACTCTTTCTCGTACAGTGGGGTCTCTACTTAAGAACGTCCCTACTTAAGAACAATTCAACTTAAGAACAGCTCCATTTGCTAAATTTTGCTTCTACTTGAGAACAGAAATCCAAGATAAGAACAAGAAAAAAAACCTTTCCTGCTTTTTTTAACCTTAGGTCATGTAAGGTTTTAAAAAAATTCTCCCCCTAGTGGTAGAGTACGTATTAACCAGCTTTGCATTAGTTCCTATGGGAACTAATGCTTCAATGTACAGTACGAGCGCACCTCTACATAACAAAAAACAGCCAGAACGGATTAATTGGTTTTCAGTCCATTCCTATGGGAAATTTTGCTTCAACTTAAAAACGTTTCAACTTAAGAACACCATTCCAAAACGGATTAAGTTCTTAAGTAGAGGTTCCACAGTAGTTTCTATGGACGGAAAAGAGCAGATACGGATTAAATGGTTTTCAATGCATTCCTATGGGAAATGCAGATTCAACATAAGAACTTTTCAACTTGAGAACCACCTTCCAATACAGATTAAGTTCTTAAGTAGAGACCCCACTGTATCTCTTTTAAAAAATGGAAATCTCATGAGGTTGTCCTCAGGGAAACAACACTTCTGTGCATTATGAAAAGGCCACCAAAGGACTCAGGTAAGTGGGCAGGAGAACCCGCTGCACCCCCCCCCATTGGTTCCCCTGTTTCCTCTGAGCTTTACAAACTATCCCTGTTGTAAGGAAAACACTGAAGGGAAGTTTGGTCTTGAGTGGGCAATTAAGAGGCCGTTACCTTTACCCAGATTGAATTCTAATTTGTTGATGGACTGCCATTCATTTTTGGACGTGGGCGCTGGATATGAGGAGTGCCGTGAGAAGCACCTGCGCTACCAAATTCACCACTCCGCCAATGGGAAGGAACAATCAGATCGCTGGACAGAAACGGGCAACGAAAAGTGTTGTGAAAGAGGACTCCCTTCTCAACCCAACCATCTGTCCCTAGCAGGGCTCCCCATCATCCTCATCCCCAGCATCCCCACTGTAACCTCCAGCAAGCCCAGCATAACCCCCAGCATAGGCCTTGCGACCCACACCCGCGGCTATAGGGCCTGGCGGGCTGGGGGAGAAATCTAGAGAGTCACTAACACTGAAGATGTATTTATCCCACAGGAAACGTTCAAGGTCGGGAGCCAGAGCCGGTGAGCCTGAGCCTCGGAGGCTCCCCGTAGATGCTGTGTGCTTCTCAAAAATCCGCCGACGGTACTTGAACTCCAAGATGGTCTTGGTATAGGTGTTGAGGGTCAGCACGGAGGCTGACATGCAAAGTGTGAAAGAGAGCCAGGCCATTCTGTGGGAGAGAGAAATCAAGGAGGAGTTGATAGGAAGGAAGGTACATACAGAGGTCAGGTTCATTGTTCCATGGCTGTGTCAATCTCGTCTTCCGTCATGATCAACACCACTCCCTCAATCCCATTTATTTATTTATTTATTTATTTATTGGACTTATATACCGCCCCATAGCGCTACAAGCACTCTCCGGGCGGTTTACAATTTTTTTAATTATACAGGCTACACATTGCCCCCCCAGCAAGCTGGGTACTCATTTTACCGACCTTGGAAGGATGGAAGGCTGAGTCAACCTTGAGCCGGCTACCTGGGATTTGAACCCCAGGTCGTGAGCACAGTTTTAGCTGCAGTACAGCGTTTTAACCACTGCACACTTTGTCTTCCCCATTCCTGTATGGCTTTTAATATGTTTGTCCAGTTTACTCAGGGACAAATTTTATTATGGATTTTCAAATAAATAAATAGTAAATCAGGACTCCACCTAAAGTAAATGCAAGATCTTGGCCAAGCCCCGGTCTTCCTGTCCTAGTCTCCTTTTCCTGCCCAGAGATGAGGAATTCCTTAAAAAAAGAGAAACATCCATGCTCCATTAGGAGCTTTTCAAAACTGTTTAGGTTTTTAGTTCCAACTTTCTAACATTTTCTTGAAAAAGCATCAGGAAGACATTCATCACCCTCAGAGTCTTTTTGACATGTTATGTTGTCATCAGAGTGGTATTCCCTAAGATCAACTTCCTTCCAATTGCACCTCCCAGGTGTTGATACTTTGGGTGGAAACCCCGAGGGAGGCCAGGACATCTATGACTAGGAGCTGGACCTTCTCTCTGTGTTCACCAACTCTTTATGGAATGTTCTATCTATGGAGGTGTGCTGGGTCCCTTCTCTCCCAACATTCAAGAAGCATATAAAAACTTTTCAGGATATCCTCCCGTCATAACTGTTGGTCACTTAGTTTTATTTTGACAATTATATTCTGTAATATTTGTTGTTGTTTGCTGCCATCTTGATTTTTTTAAAAAAGAAAACAGTAGGATTGGACTGTTTTCTTTATGTTTATTTTTATTGTTTGAAATTGCCCAGAGTAGTGGCAAGGCCACTAGATCAGTGGTTCTTAACCTTTGTTAGGTGTTTTTGAACTGCAACTCCCAGAAACCCCAGCCAGCAGAGCTGATGGTGAAGGCTTCTGGGACTTGCAGTCCAAAAACATCTGAGTAACAAAGGTTAAGAACCAGTGCACTAGATAGTGCGGTATAAAATTATCATTAATAAATACACTTTCTTCCTCCCCACAATTATCTTTTGGTCTGTTTTATAACTGAGAGAACTGGGAATGAAAGACAGTGATTGGCCTTAAAAAAACCTAAGCTGAACCCAATTGCGAGTTACCGTATTTTTCCATGTATAAGACTATACCTTTGTCTAAAATCAAAATTCAGGGTCATCTTATACACAGGAGTAAGCTGAGGAGAGAACAAAAACAAGTGGAGGGGAAAGCAGGGATCAAAGCTATCCTGCAGCGCTTTGATCCCTTTCCCTCCACCCTTGCAAAGCCCCACTTATATTTCTTAATTTTGGATTAGAAAAGTGGGGGGGGGTCCTTATACATGGAAAAATACGGTATGTGTGTGGTGGTAATGGACAATAAAAACAAACTCTTTTAATGTTTGTTGTTGGTTTTTCGGGCTCTTTGACTGTGTTCTGAACGTTGTTCTTCCCAATGTTTCGCCAGTCTCTGTGGCTGGCATCTTGTACTCTGAAGATGCCGGCCACAGAGACTGGCGAAACGTTAGGAAGCACAACCTTCAGAACACGGCCAAAGAGCCCGAAAAACCCACAACAGCCATTAGACCCCGGCCATGAAAGCCTTTGCGAATACATTAAATTCTTTTAACTTGTCTTTTGCTTGCAAATAGTTAAATTAAATCAAAGAATAATCCTGTTAGAAAAAAGTCCAAAGACAGAGCAGTCCAATGCCAGCGTTTCTGTTCTATCCAAAAATGGGTATCCCAAAAAGGTTTAATCTGCAGCAATAGACAATTTGTTCAATTTGTTGGCCTATAATTTCTGGCATTTTTGTACATGCCAAGCAAAATATCGCAGTTTAAATGTTACCCTAAAAGTCAATGTTCTAAAAGTCAATGTTAAGAGATAATTTGTCATTAGAAGCAGAGTTCTCTTAAGAGATAAAATACATCTGTTTACCCTGTCCCAAGATTTTCTCACTTCACATGTTGCAAAGGAGTTTGCTTTTCTTATCTGGTTTGTCACTGGAAATTAAGCACAGGCCTCACTTGCAAGTCTGATTGCCCAGGATCTACATTTTGAAGGAATCAGATGTCTGGAGGGAAAACATTAACAATAAGCACGAAACAGGCATTTCCTTGAATATGTAGCCCTAGTTTTTGTTTGCTGGTCACTTCCTGCTTGGTTTAGCTGCTCTTGGTAGGAGGGGGAGTCAAATGGAAGCAATTGACTGCACACAGTAGCATGCTGCAAACAAGAAGCTATAAGCCACGTTAATTCTGGTTTATTGTGACATGTACTGTAAATCTAGCCATCATGTTCTGATAAATTCATAGGGACTTGAACACAAGTTCTTGAAGAATTAATAATGCTTTTTTTAATTTTAGAATTCCACCTTTCATCCCTGCCTATTATCTCCTTCTGTTTTCTCCACTTTTCATCTATTCGTATCTGTTAAAGCACCAAAAGAATTAAAAATGCAAGCTTTGAAGTAGAAGGGTCCACACTGTTCTTTTCTCCCATGCTGGTTACTCACCCAAAAGACCACCCGTAATACCACGACTGAGGCCTCCAGTCTTTCGGTCCCAGATTTACAGCCACCTGAAAGACGGTCATGTACATCATATGGGCTACCATGCCAAGAAGCCCTGTTGAGAAAAAATAGTTTAAAAGGTCTAATTCAGCATACTCGCAACTATACAGCTGGTAGAGCTCCATGGATTAGAGCATCTGCCTGCAGAGCCAAGGCTGGGGGTTCAAATCCCCTCTGTGCTTCTCGGGAAAAGGGCTAGCCAAGATCACCAAAACATAAGCAGAACATTGGGTTACATGCTCTGCTATCTGCAGCATTGGGCAAGCTACCGGTATGTAGTTCCTGAGTGCTACCAGAAGGAGGGACTCTGAATGAAGAAGAAAACGCCAAGAGGACTCCCATAAGCTATAATCAACTTCACAGTACAAATTTATTCTCTCCTGCTATAAACAAATAAATGCCTGCTTACTCACAGGTGAACCTGGCAAACACACAAGTAAACCAGGTGCCCTTACATGCCAGTAAATTGGTGATTGAAAGATTTGTATAGACCCTTCTTACAGGAGAGTAAACATCTCCTGTGTGAAGGAAAGGATTGCTTAAGTGAGAAATAAAATAGATTGCACTGAAGATAAGAACCTTTTAAGTGCGAGCCAGACTGTTCTTAATTCCCCTGTCTGGACAGGCTCATATTGTTGACGTTTCTACCCTTTGCTCTACACCATGTGGCTGAAACAGTTCATGTAGGAAAAACATTTCCTCTCGATGCTGGGGAAGAAATAAACCCATGCCAAATGATGCGTTCCAATAGGCTGTTTTAGACAGCTCTGACTGACAGCTTCAGAACTCCACATTCTTGCCTATGGCAATGAACACACGCCATAGATCGCAGTGTGTGAAATTGTGCCGGCTACCTTGGACTGCCCTTTACAAACCTCTCTGAGTGGCTTGCTGGGAACAGCGTATGTACGTGTAAGAATTTTTAAATCCACAGTAACCTCAACAGTAAGATTTTCAATTTATGTTTTGAATTAGAAGTTGCATCAAGAAGGCAAGAATGCTTAATTCTTTCCTAAGTAACCATTTTTACCATTTGGCATCTGCAAATAAACTGGAGTTTCTTATAATACCTGTCCTTAGAGATAAACATTCAATGTCAGTTTCAGATGGATTTATTGTATAAATGTTCTATTTCATTTCCACAGTAGCATTTTTTAAAAAAAAAATATTTACATTTTAAATGTATTTCAATGCATTTTTGAGCTGAAAATGGTGTCAGGACATGTGGAATATCTAAAGGATAACTGGCATTCCAATCTGCATGTTTAGTCCAAGAGGTGACAAGAATTTGCAAAAAAATCAGATTTCTCAAGGATCTGTGCTTGCATGTATCTCATAGCATGATATACAGAATGGCATTGGTAATGGAAATTTACTGGGATGAGGGTGGGTTGCAGTAGTAAAACAAATCCTTAAACATCTCACACAACCTCAGCAACTTTACTAGCAGATCCCAGTCTACCTTCTGCCCATGGGCAAAATGTCTGTTAGTTATGGGGTAACTAAGGGACATTAAGGAATTAGGGCAAGGAAACCCATGGACAATGAGTGTGATGGCCACTCAGGGTTGTACGTAGATAGCTCTTGTGAGAAGGGGAGGAGGTATGCAGTACATGGCGGATGAGGGCAGGATAGAGAGACGTACCTGAGAGAACAGTGATGACAGCAGCAAAAGCATTGATCTTCAGTCCATCAATAAAGTTAGCATAGTAGACCGCATCCAAACACATCAGCAGGAATCCCACGCTCAGCAAGATAATATAAAGGAATTCTGAGGCAACAGAAAGCCACAATACCCCTGGGACAGGAGGGATGACAGATTAGTTACTGATGGGTCTCAGACAGTCTTTGGGGCAACAGATTTAAAACAGAAATGAGTGTTAACTCTTGAATATATTAATCCCCAATTCTTTTCAAGCCTTTGGTTGCAGAGCCAGAAATTTCAAGTTTGATTCCCCACTGTGCTGCCTAGAAAAATAGAGTTGGCATATGTGGCCTTCGGCAAGCTGCACAGTCCTGGGGAGCCCCAAGAAGGCGGCGATGGGGAACCACTTCTGAGTATTCTCTACCTGGGAAACCCTAAAAGAGGTTGTCATGAGTCAGAATTAACTTGATAGCACATCATCATCATCATCATCATCATCATCATCATCATCATTATTAAAAAAACTCCAGGCACAGTCAAAATTATAAAAACACTGACTGGCATTATATACCAGTGGTCCCCGACCTTTTTAACTCCATGGACCAGATAGGGAAGGTGGGGCACACACACCCCGTGCATGCGCGAAGGAATGGGCATGCGCTCGCATGGGTGTGCACACACTCACATGCATGCGCAATGGGTGCTTGGGGGTGCTTGTGTACACTCATGAAGGGATGGGGGTACACACATGACATGCATGAAGGGGTTGTGTGGGGGGCAGGGGTGCGGGCAGGAGGGGAGATCTGCCTCCGTAGCCTGGTCTGGCCCAGGCCACGGACCGGCACTAGGCTGCAGATTGGAGGTTGGGGACCCCTGATATCACAGATACAAGTTTTAACCAAAAACCTAAGTATCTGTTAAATATCAGCACAGTATGTATGCTGTTCCTAATACTGCCATTTTTTGTAGCTCTGATGGTGTGATTTCTGAGATCTGCAACTGCTTATAGTACTCTGTGAAATTTCTTGATATTGTTCCCAAAGCCCCAATGACTACGGGGACCACTGAAGTGTGTTTCTTCCAGAGTTGAGGTTTTTTGATTGCCAGGTCTCTGTACTTTGTTAGTTTTTCCAATTCTTTATTTTCAACTCTGGCATCCCCTCGAATAGCAATGTCAGTAATTTGAACATTTCTCCGCACTGCTGCCACTACTACTATGCAAACATAAATCATTGGTATTCGGACTCTACTCTGATCTGAAAAATATTTAATAGCAACCTATTTTGTTGTGGAAGAAACAAATATATGTCACAGAGCTATCGTCAATTATAATCATTTTATGTTCCCAATAATCCAAACAAATAGTCCTAAATTCAGTTGGTAGAACCAGCAGCAAGAGACTACTGCCCCATCTACTGAATACTGAGTCAATAATTACATAAATCCTGTTGATTCAATTCAGTCAACCCTGAGTGCTCACTGTAAGGACAGATCCTGAAGCTAAGGCTCCAATACTTTGGCCATCTCATGAGAAGAGAAGACTCCCTGGAAAAGACCCTCATGTAGGGAAAGTGTGAAGGCAAGAGGAGAAGGGGACGACAGAGGACGAGACAGTTGGACAGTGTCACCGAAGCTACCAACATGAATTTCACCAAACTCCAGGAGGCAGTGGAAGACAGGAGGGCCTGGCGTGCTCTGGTCCATGAGATCACGAAGAGTTGGACACAACTTAACGACTAAACAACAACAACATTGATTCAATGGGTCTTGCTCTAGTTAGTACTAACAGTTGTGTTCAGCCTACTGTGGCTTGTGGGAATTGATGAGGCAATAATATCAATAAAATACTCACTAAAATACAATCACCATGGGGGGGGGTGTCCATGGAGGCATGGTAATTAAATTGAAGTACTATATATAAACTGGTATCTTTGTGTACTTTCTTTTTATTAGTATTCTACATTTATCCAAATACAGTCGTGTCATCTTCTTATGGCTGCTGCACAAGAGTGGAGGGTGGGTTTTCACTTCACTGGAGCTTATTTTTGGGGTTGGGCTTATATTACGAGCATCCTGAAAAATCATACTAAGGCTTATTTTCAGGTTAGGTCTTATTTTCGGGGAAACAGGGTAGCTGTCCTCCCCCCGCCCGATGTGTGTTTTTTGGAGTTCCCTGGCCTCCAACAACCTTTCTTTATGTTATAAAAAGGCAAACAGCCATTCCTGGAGACCTTCAACAGTGCCAACTGCCTTTTAAATAGGCCACAGCTTTATCCTCTCATACACTTGTACTAACAAAATCATATCCAGGGGAAAAAATGTTGTGGCATCTTAAAACCCAACTGTGAACTTTTGTGGATACATCCACTTTTTTAGATGTGAACGCTGAACTATAAGAGCTAGTCTTTAAGGTGCCACAACACTTTGCTTTCTATTTTTGTGCTTTATTTTCATTTTTGTCTGGATATGCCTGTAACGCTAATACGATTACTTCACTGAAAATCAAAAAGCCCAACAATTTTTTTAAAAACTGTAGATATACTTCCAAGTTCTTCTGGCTTTGTTTTGGTGTTCATGTATGTATTATGTATGTATTTTGTTTTGTTTTTACATTTTGGGAAGTTTGTGTGACCTCTGGAGAATCCTAGGCACATCAAATTGATCTTGACAAAGTTGTGTACCCCTTAAGCAACCGGATGAGGCAAACGCTATGCTGAAATGACATGTCTCACCCCTTCCTTGGCAGAATTCAAGTATAAAGTTGTTCAGCCTGCGTTATTACTACATTCTACAATTTCATCAGTTCCCACACGTTAAATAACCCAATTCCATCTTGAAGCTTCAATCTCTGATTTTCAATGTTTTCTGAATGTACTCTGAGCAGCAAACAACAGATGACATATTACCCAGTGTTGTTTTATGGGTACTGCGTGCTCCATATATTTTAAAATACATAATCGTGGATCTAGAGGAAAATTAGTAGATAGCCATTTATCCACTATGATTGCTACTGTTTTCAAGAAAATTTGTGGGAGGTGTGTGGGCAGATCGCTATCTTGAGTGTTATGACAAAAGCCAATGCAGAGGAATTTGTTTTTCTCTGTATGTATGTTTAAACCTACCCTTTAGGGCATGAACTATATGATACAGCCCTAGGCTAAATCTTCCGCTTCATGTTAAAAAGATTTTACAAAGCTGGTCTACCATTAGAAAGAGTGAGGCAGGCATCAGATGCTGGGAGGCATGAAGTCACTTGTGGACTGAGCTATGCACATCATCCAACCTATTTTTTGCCTTCTCGGCTGTTTCTTAAACGAAGTGGAAGTATGCCACCCCATTGGCAGCAATGGATTAAGGTTGAGCTGCCAAACTGACTTTTCTTTTCTTTTTTAGGTTCATAGAATGGGAAGATGTTCACAGAACATCTTGATTTTTCACCGTAGGCAGCAAAATAGCTTGGCCCAGTTTCTCAGGGTTGGAAAGACCACAGCTTGTGGCTATGAAAAACATCAATGCAGTTGGACTGACAGGCAGTCCTTGGCTAAATAGTTAGTGCTCATCTAAATGGATAAATAGTGTATCTCGGTAGGAAATGGCTTTATGATTTTGGTTGCTTCCCATTCATTTTGTTTTTAAACATTTGGGCTAGGTCTCACCTTTCTCTGACTCCGGGGGCAGCTCAATGAAACTCCGGCACTTCTCCCCTAGCATAGGGGTGGAAGAGAAACAGAAGACAACAACAGTTTAGCCACATATGACCATATATTCATTTCAACATTTGTCATCCCTCGCCTGAGAGAAAGACATTTTTCTACGTATTCCTCCTGTCCATGTTAAACACCCTTTAAAATACCCTCACCTTGCCTCTGAGCTGGTTTGATCTGAAAAAGAATGCACTCCAACAAGAACAAATAGGATAATAAACCCAGTCATCCAAAGGGTGGCTGAAATTTTAGGCCTAGCAAATTATGATACCTAGTGGAATATGAGCAAATAAAGCTGATACAGCATGCAATTCAAGTGGTACGTCCCAGAATCCCTTGCCAAGAAAGACACAGGTGATAATCAGGACCCGTTTTCCCATTGTGTAGAATCAGAAAAATGCTTCAGGTGCAGATGAGACGGATATATACTCCCCGTTGTTTATCCTGAGCCCAGTTCGTTACCTATTTTTAAAGACCAGAGCCATGTATGCCACCGAGTCTGCCCTCCATCCCCTCAGGTAGCTGGCTGCTGTCAGTTATGATGGAAAATGCTATCCAGTCAACTAAGATTCAGCTGTCAATCCAGTTGGCTTCTCTATGCAGGGCAGAGATGCCATTTTGCATAGTAGGAGCATCGATGATGATTATGGTAATTTAATTGGTTGCAAGAAGTAATGAGTAATGCAACAAATTCCTTTTAAAATGTAACCTTGCAAACTCAATTTACAGAACATGGCTGCCTCACACAGGCTACTCTTCATGCGTATGCATCTCTTATGTCAGGAGCTGTTTGTTGCTCATGGCAGCTCATTGAACGGACTGGGAACTTTGAAAGGAGGATAAAGATGGCTGCAATGTGAAAAAAACACCCAATTCACATGGTAATGAGCTCATGAAGAGAACAAACAGGTTGCAAGTGGAGTCATTTACATTTGTGTAGGTGAAGAATTAAAAACGTGTAACTAATTGTTGTAGAACTGAACAATAAACAAACTGTATCTTATTAAACTAGCATTCACCATAAAACATTAATAATAGATTAACATGCTATAAACAATGAGAAACGAAATGTCTATTTCTATGCCTACCTTTCGTCTCACATCCTATTTCAATCCACCCATTTCCTTGTGGACTCTTCTAATTGCTGTGGAATTCTCTTGTTATCTCCTTCTCACAGCAAAATTGGCAGCCAAAATGAGACTACACTGAGATGAGACACTGATTCCAATTCCCTATCTAGAAGTTTTCATTCTTCAGAGGAAAAAACTGATCCTTCTAACACAAATTTGCCTCCATTCGTATTTCTCAAATTAGCTTGCATTTGTTTTGTAATGGGAGCTTACTTAGGTCAAGAATTGAAAATGTATAAATAGTTTTTGTAGGATTAGCAATAAACAGGCTGTATCTTATTAATTAGCATCCTTGTCATATGTTAATAATAAATTCTGCTATAGACTATGAAAAGTAAGTAAATTGGGAAATAGGACAATATTGTATGTCTCATGTTTCAACCACATAACACTGAAAGATTTGTGCTGCCTAAATATTCTACATGAACTGACAGATACATGAGGGAGAAATCGTCATCATACTTGAGGGAACCTCCTACATGAGCAGAAAGATAAGTAAAATAAAATATTTCAAAATAATTAGGTAAGGAAAGCAGAATGAAGCGGCAGACTGGCCCCCAAAGCAGTCCAGAAGAGGCTATGGTCACAATCATACAGTACCCAGTATCTTTTGAGAGGAAAACAATGGAAAATGGGGTGTGGTGGCATGAAGTGTCCTGGCAAAGAGCCAGTCTGCCAAAAGGCTGGAGCTGGAACGGATGTCAGGGGCCACTGAGTCCACCCTCCTGCCAAAGCCCAACAAGACATTGACTATGGTCACCTCATGCTACACTACAACATGTTGTTGAAGGTCCCATAGGTTACTAATACATTTTGAATCCGCCTTCCTTTCAAAGAGGGGTGGTTCACAAGGTGCTTCTCTGCCACATTTTAATATCATAAAATCCCCATGAGATAGATTAGGTTGAGACAGAATTCACTGGCTCAGTGGTACCGAGTGAGGATCATGACTAAAGATTTGAACCAGTAGCACTCTGGCTGTCATTGCTATTGTTGTAACTGTAGCGCCCTCCCATCCCAGGGGTTTGCAGTGAAAGGGCAGACACTTGACATAAGAAGTTTGGAGAAACAGCAGAACAAATGGAAAATGGAGGCCAAAAAGGCGCAGACGAGGGAGGTGATTGCACTTACATGTGGAGGTGTAACAATACACTTTGTCCCTCATCCATCCATCTCGCATTTCTCATCCGTAAGCCCCTTGGCTTACGGATGAGAAAACGTCCTTTTGTGGGATGGCATTTCCCAGAATGGCCTTGCTAGGTGGGGATTTTGGGGGGTGTACTTCAAAATTTTGAGCTTTTTTCCATTTCTGCTGCTGCTATACCTACTGTCACCCCCAAACCAATTCCCAAGTTCCTTTCATGTCCCATAATCACTACATTTGCAATACCAACACTAGTAGCAGCAGCAACAGAAACCACATCATCTAGTACTCTGAAATATATACAACTTTCGTACCTCCGTGATGTTCCTCACATGAAAGCCAGAAGCCCGTGTGAAAATATCGGAAAGCGTACTTGTCTTCGCCTGTCTCCCAGATGTACTGGACCACATGGGGATCCATGGTCACATTCCCGTCTATCGTGACGTTACTGTTGAGAGGTATACAGTTCCCTTTCTTGACAGCTGAGAGGCAGGGTGGTTTTACCACCTTGTGGATCCCTTCACACCAATAGCTGGTGCAAAACGCCGATACAGAGAAGCAGAGGGCGAGAGAGTTGAGGCCCAAGGACAACATTGAGCGAGCCCTTCGGCTCAGTTTAATCATGGTTCCAGGTTTTGGAGACAAATAAGGATCTGATGGTTTGAAACCTAACCCAATTGTTTAAATCCACTTTATTTCCTGGGGTGTCTGTGTGTGTGTGGAACCCTTCTATTATTGCATTATTCTGGTGTTTTCTTATCTCAGTAGACCATTTTGAATAAATCCCTGTTTCCAAAGACTAAGAAAACTGCCTCCCTCAAAACTGCAATTTTTTCCCTTCTGATCACGATGTGGTAGACCTTCCATTAAATATGTTCACTGTGTCGTTTCATGTCAGGATGGAAATTGTCTCAGAATCTCTAAGTTTAGGGTTCTGTTTTTAGTAAGAACTAGTTATTTGAGAAAGCAGAAGATTGGAACCAGAAACAAGTGAGGTTTAGGGCCACAGCAAAAAGCTATTCAGGTCTCTGGGAAATAAATTAAGGTGACCAAATTAACACCAAGAGGGCTTTGAGCCAGCACTGCTCTCCAGATTGCGACTGAAGTAATTATTGGAAAGCTGTTTAGTTCACGCTGTGTGCTTTAAAAGAAATTTTTAATAAGCATGCACGTATATTCACACTGATTATTAATTCCTGCTCCTTTCTCTGCAGAATTAATAAGAAAAAGAGATTCTTTAAAAGTCTTTTAAAAAACACAATTGCAGTACATTTACCAGATCGAGCACTCTTACTAATAAAAATGTTTAATCTCTTAAGATTTTTTAATGAGTGGTGAAGAGTTTAAACCCGACACAAAAAAAGTCTTTCCAAATTTTAGAATTGCACACCATTTTAGATTTCTTTCCCACATTTAACAGGGACTTTTTTTTGAACAGAGATACTCCCTGTTACATGTGATGCTTGCCTCATGCACAAATGCAGCTGCTCTAGTTTGAATCCTGCAAAGATGTCTCAGAAACAGCCAGATTTGAAAGAGTTTCAAACATCCCCCCCCAAGGTTAGAATATTAGCTTAAAATGTGGATGACAGCATTCGCTTACATTTCAGAGTATGCATAAGCAACCCAAGTTTTCCTTGAGACACAGGGTTGCTAGTTCCGCCTTTCTTCTGCTAAGAGAAAAAGCTCAGAGAGTTTACAAAGTTCACCCCACCTCAAAAATTCTATCAATTCAAGGAGTACTCTTGGAAAAGCAGTGTCTGGACAAAACTATAAGCTCTGTTCTTTATAGCTGGCAAGTCCAGGTATATCAGCCACCTCTTCAGATTGTACTTCTCCTTTGCTTTTTAAATTGGCAACCCGACAGGGCAGCTGTTGCTCACAACGTTGGGCACCAGATTGTGGTGACAGGCCAGTTGCTGACCCTTGAGCTTCAGTCTTCAAATCTCCTGCAAATCCTTCTTCAAATCATATCCTGTAGCTGAAAGAAACAAAACATCTAGATTATATAGACCTCAAATACCACCTCTCACCCTCTGAAATTTCCCTCAGTTTTCACTCATAATAATTTCATCATTTCTGTCAGGGTTTTTCATCAGATTTTTCAAACTCTCTCAGAAACTCTCTTCAGAATCCAGGCTATCTGAATAGGGTTATGTGTCCCTGCCCGACCACACCCACACAGCTGTGGACTCTGGGGATCAGACAGCTCAGAAATCTGTTTGTTCGGCCTCCTTTAAGAATTATATCTTAATCCACTTTTCCTCTTGCACGAAGGAATCCAGTTTTAACCCTTCTGTCCTGAATCCATTGTTGCTTCTCTTCAAATATTGAGTCCAGGGCTCTCCTTACAAGGCTGTGGGTTAATTTTGCTTTTAGGGAAATGCTGCAATTACACCAAGCCAGAGGGCACAGTTTGCTGTGTTGAGTCTCATCAGTGCCTCGATATCTCCCAAGTCAAAGGCTATCCAGAAAAAACAACAACATCCAAAATTCCATACAATGCTAAAGATGTTTAAAATAAAGCGGCAGAAAAGAGAAAAAATACTTTTCTGGAGGTGCTTCAACAAGATGGTCCAGTGTGCTTTACCGAAGAAAAGTAAAACTTTTTGGACAAAGTCTTTTCATCACTGAAGGAGTAAAAATACCAAATTCCAAAAAAGAATCCAAGACATCTACTAACACTAGAAGATGATGAGGTAGCCGTGATGGTCTTTCTCAGCAACAGATCACCCAACTCTCTTTCAAGTCACTCAGTGAAAAGAGAAGACCTAACATTCAAAACCCAGGAAGTTTTGGTTTCCTTTCCTTTGGAGATACTTTTCCAAGTCAAAAGAAAACTGCCCCAGAAAACTTTGCAGATGTAAATGTCACAGGTGGTATCCTGAATCTTCCGGGCAGTGTGATAGATGGAGAACAAAACATTCAATCAAATCCAACTTGGAACCTTGCTGGACAGAGATCCTGGAGGTCTGTCCCCAGTGAAGAATTGGTACTGAGCAGATGCCATTCTGACAAAACCAAGGACTCTTCGGCGAAAGGAGGATGTCCAGGAAAGTGCCACTCCCAAGGGTTCGGCGCGCGCACCATGAAAAATGTTCCCCAGTTGCTACACAACAGGAAGAATCGGGAGGTTCTCTCTGAGCCGGCTGCTCTGAGTGGAGAGGTGGCATGAACGGTGTGATAAATGAGCAGGCAGCTAAGAGCTCCGGCACCCGCCAGTGTGGTACATTCCCTGGGGGATAGAAATCAGGAGGAGAAGAGCTGCGGCGGCTGATTAAAAAACCTCTTCATTAGTGCCAAGGGGGTACCGGTGCCAAGGGCTGGGGATTAGCATCTAATACAGAGAAAGGGAGGTGGGATGAAGGAAAGAGGAGGGAGAGCCTCACAGAGTGTGCATTGGTCTTCCCTTTTGCAATCATTTAGCTCCCAGGAGAAGATGAGAAATTGGATGCAGAGATGAGGGAGCAGCTGGGGTTAGAGGGGAAGGAGTGGACAGAGGCAGAGAGAGAAACAGGGCACAGCGGGCAGGGAAGAGGGGGAAAAAAGAGAAAACTATATCAAAAGGCATATTGCATGGAGGTGTAGGCATAATAGGAGATTGGTCAATAACCAGTGGGAGGCATGCATGTTAATTCTTTCTTTCTTCATATCAGAGCATTAAACAATTTAAAATTATGGATGTACAGTATATGAATAGATGAAGTTCAAACATGTTTAAAATATTAAAATGATTAGATTATTTTTCACCAGAAGTGGGCTACTTCAATAGCGCTATATTGGCCATTTACTGGATCTTCTGGAATAAGAGAGGTTCAGTTTTAGGGGCTAGATGATTTGCTAGCATTTGTTCAAACATTTTGTATAAGTGGCATAATAGGGAGATTAGACAGTAGTTTTTGGGGTCTGATGGTTCTATGCCTGGTTTCAACACAGCAATTACTTCCATCTTCTGCCATATATTTGAATTTGTTTGCTTGTCCATCAGTTATTAAAGATCTGAAGGAGCCATTCCATTCTGTTTGCCCAAAAGGTTAAATTTGCTCAATCCAGATATCATCAAGTCCCATTGTTTGGCCATTCCTACATCTTCTTATGGCTTCCTATAGTTCCACCAATATGAAGGCAGTGGAAAGTTGATTGGAGTAACACATATTAATGGATGCATCCATCAATGCGACAGATAGATAGTTATATCAGGAGGGAGAGATTTCCCCCAAATCCAAATTTTCAGCATTTTAAATTGGAAATCATTCTTGTGGAAAGGTGCTCAGGCAGTACCAAAGTAATGCTGTTACTGAAGATGAGTTGCAAGTTTTTGCAAAGGTCAGTCTATTTGTGAATTACTGTTTTAGTGTCCTCCACTTCACATATACAGTATTTATCTCTATGAATATGGGAAGGGCAAGTGTGAGTATATGAAGACAGGTAAAAATAAAATCTGGAAAATGAGTTTACCTGGATGAGGGAAAGAAAGAGAGATATGAAAGGTGTATTGAATTGTCCTCATCCTCATTATCTTAAAAATGCAGAACTGTAAGGGATCCAGTGGATCATCAAGGAGGCACAGAGGGGAATTGAACTCCCTGAATTGTCAAGGAGGCACAGAGGGGGACTGAACCCCCAGCCTCTGCAACCAGATACCTTAACCACTGAGCTATTTAGTAGATCATAGGCAGAATGATAAAAATATCCATCCAGAGAGGAATTAAAAAATAATATCCCTTCCCCTCCTGTCTAACTTTGTTTTGTTTTTGTATGCGGTCTATATGGGCTTACTTTTTTTCATATGTTCTCCTACCCCCCTCCTTGCACATCTACACCCAGATGGCCACCTGTGGTCCTAAATCATCCTTGCTCCACGTTCGCAGTCTTTTTGTCTCTGGGCTGTTTCTCTCAGGATTAACTTCCAGCTGGCAATTCCAGTTTGTGTCGCTTTCATTAAGATCAATATGTGAGAGAATCAAACCACTTTCACCAAAGCCGGCATGGACTTAAACACAGCAAAGTAATTAGAACAGAGAGGATCTAGCAGCTTAGGCTAGGAGCCAGCACCTTAGACTTCTTTTTTTTAAAAAAAAACAGAACAGAACAGAACAAGGCAAAACCTACAGCTGTGGGGCTTCTGGATTACACCAAGCAAACATACAGGGGTTTCCTTGATTCAGCAGGGAGCAAAGGCTAGTCATAGGATTGAGACTTGCCTTAGAATAAAAATCAGGGCATTTTAACAATGGCATTTTGAGATTATGAATCCGAGAATCTCCCAGCCAGTGGACTATTGATGATGATGGTTAGGGGAATTGTGGGAAATATAATCTCAAAGGGGCATTTTAACAATGGCATTTTGGGATTATGAATCCAAGAATCTCCCAGCCAGTGGACCATTGATGATGATGGCTAGCGCAGTGGTTCTTAACCTTTTTGAAAAGAGCAAGTATCCTGTATCTTCAAGGAAGAAGAGGGAATTTCAGTGGCTGTGGATCATCAGAGGGCAATCCAGGGGACATCCACATATGAAGGTGCCTTGGTCCCATTATTGCCAATGTGGGTCAGCAGTGGCTCTCCAAGATATCAGGATACTTATTTCTCCATGTATGGATCTACTGGGGATCAGATCTCTGATTGTCTCCTTGCAAAGTGTGTGCTTTAACACTCCTGTGTGGCTATTAAATGCCTTTCCTGCTACATTTTTATTAAAGTGCAGAGTTCCTTGTCCAGAAAAAGCAACTCATTGCTGACCAAAAACAGACAGATACTGGTCTGCCCTTTGCTTTTCCCTTCGACTACACCAAATTTGGAGGAAGAGAGGGAGGGGAGGGAAGGAAGGATGGGGAGGCAAAGAGAGAAGAGCAGAGAAGGGTGTGTGTGATATCTCCCACCACCCACCAACTCACAAGTGGAGAAAAAAAGAAAGGGATTCCTCCCGACCCCACTTTGTACCTTGTATTGTTTAGACGGACACACACAAGAAGAGACAAGGATTACAGTACTTAGAGGATGCAAAGCAGAAAAAGCGAAGGGGTGTGTCTGTCCTCCCCAGCAGGATTTCTGTGCGAGTGTAAAAATAAAAGAAACTCTTAACACTCTGCTGCAGATTCATGCATACCTCTCTGTTTGCACGTCCAGCTGTTCCGGCTTTTTCTGCTTCTCTTTTGCACACAACAGACAAACCCCCT